TGTCAACCTGCATAGTGGCTGTGTGCGTGTGTCAAACTACTGAAAACAGGTTGAACGTTGAACCCGTTTAGGCGCCAAGTAAAAGGCAACCACCATGTGCTCACGCATGCCCAAGTGTGTAGTGGGGATTACGGGTGATGCAATTCGGACTCGAATCTCCCACTTGTGAGATCCATTGCTCCTAAAATATGCTGCGATCCTGGCACCAGCTCTTGGATATGTAAGCACAGACGAAGCAATCTCTGAATCGACTGCGACCATTTTTTGGAGATCTTGCAAATATGGCGCGACCTCGCCCGTGAAGTGTTTTTCTTTTTTGGGCATCCATATTATGTTGGTGGTTTGGTTTGCAACGGGCCGTCTCTGCCAGGCCTCATCAGTGGGGGGTGCGCCGGTGGGCGTGTGGTGGCAGACCTGGGGCCCCATCTTCCCAACGTACACGTACGAGGCGCGGGGTTCCTTATGCGTCCCCTGATTGACACCACCCGTCACCACCCTTCCGAGAAGTTCAAGTGAGCCGAGTCGTGATGCTTAAACCACCCATGAAGGGAGATGATGGATCCTGGAATTAAGGCACGTTCCCAAGCATACTCCTGCCTTTGTAGGTCCTTACAGGACTTGTTTGATTCCAAGGTTGTTGGTTTGGACTCGGTTGTTGGCCCAGTTGGATCCTGCAGAGGCTTAATGTTGGCTAGCGCCCGGGGGGGGGGGGGAACAGCGGATGATGCTGTGGGTGGTGCACTGGAATTGGGGGGGTGAGGACAATGCCAACTCGCAGACGACGCTCTACATGAGGAGGAAGCTGTTGAGAATTGGCCAGTGCCATGTCATCGCACGCTGCGATGGAACTGGCCCTGTGATCACCTTCACTGAGGGCTTGAACTGGTTCTCGAACCGGCTCAGAAAGTTGCCTGGCTTTGGACACGGTCCCTGTAGTGTGGCCTCTCCGCGCGTGTTTGAAAATCTTCATTGCCGGGCTGTGATCCAGTTTGCAGGTGTGTGTGTGTGTGTGTTGCGCGTGTGTGCGCGTTGATGTGCTTCATGGTGATGTTGTGTTCTGTGGGCTTCCGCAAGTTGGACCCCGGAAAGTAACCAACGGATTAGGTTGCCGACCAATGGAGGGGAGTCAACCCAACAAGTCGCCTGCCAATCCCGATGTCGGATTTGCTCAGAATGCCCATGAACTTGGGCATGGCTCATGGAGTTTCGGAGAGCAGAATTCGCAGAAACAGGGTGATCGCTGTCTTTTTCGCAATGCTGATTCCTCTCATGTCATTACCCTTGAACATGTTTTCAAACTAGGTTAGTGCTGTGCCAAGTTGTTCTCGAAAGTTGCGATGGATTAACTGCCCCAACTCGCGGTGCCAGCCCCAGCTTGTGATCACAGCAAGCTTCGAGCCGTCGTCCTCCTCAAACCTGCACCTGTTTGCCCCCTCTGCATTCTCGAAATCTGGACAAGAAAATGCGGCTTCTAAATCGACGGGGCCCCCCGTCTCGCATTTCTGATCGCCAATCTGCAGATCCCTTTGCTCCCTTGGGGCATCCAAGTTGCACCGCGAGGTTCTTCCAAATGAACCAAGCGATGAGCCCCTCGGCCAAACTTAGCAGGGCTTGGGAGTCGTGGTTCCAGCACAAGGCCGCAAAACTGCAAAATACAAAAGGGGGGCAGGGTCCCTATATGAAATACATTGAAACACCCCATATCCATGTAAGTTGGTTGTTCAAAGGGAAGTTTTGGGCGGACTGCTCAAAGGGAAGCCAGAGAACGAGTCTCCATTCTAGGTTACAAGATTTACGTGGACGACAAGCTGGTGGCCATTGCTGAGGAGCGCCATCGCAGGTGCATGGGCAGACACCACCTGTCCTTTTCCTGTCCGCGTTTGGATGGGAAACCAACTTGGGAGGCGTTCTTTGAGCACATGGTCCATCCTTTCAGAAACATAATCTCAAACCACGCAACAAGAAAGGTTTGTTTGAGAGCTCCCAGAATGAAATATACAACAGCTCTAGCTGCGTGCGAGCAGGTTGAACAGTATTTGTGGTTGCCATTGCTGCGGCAGGTGTGCTTGCACAGCCTGACTCATGAAAAAAGAGTGGCATTGGCATTGTTGGCAAGACCATGATTGGCAATTGGCCGGATACCCACCGAATTGGCTGACGTGTTTGGCTTTCTTCGGAAGCATCAAGGCGTCGGGAGACGTCAGTGGGGTTAGGAGACGCAGCTGGGCTTCCAGTCCATGACCTTTCGCTCGGTGGACGAAGGCCGCAGTGCCGTCGCCTCCTCCGTACTCCAGAGCCGTCACTTCCATGGGCAGCGCCTCGGACGTTGGTTTCCGTCGGAAGAGTGGGTTCGGCCGGTTTGAGGCTTGCCTGGTTCGTTTGAATTGGGGATTGTGGCGGTAGCGGCTGGAGTGCGTGACCGAACCTTGGAGATATGAAGGATCTCATATCCAGAGACTCAAGTGTAGTCAGCAACTCCGACGGTTAGTGCGAAAGCACTACGCATGCTGGGTTAGTTAGATAGTGCACTGAAGATGGATTGCCAATGGAGCAGCCCAGGTATGATGAGTGGTTGGTGGACAACAAGGACAAAGAAGAGGCGAGTTGGCAGTTGGCAGAGCCGAGGTCTGTGATAAAGTATCTTGGTCTTTGCTGGCATTGCATTTGGCGATGAACTGAGTAATGCACCGGCATCCAACTTTGAGCGCGGGCCAGGTGCGAGCACTTCGGAACCACAACACGGACCCCCAAACAAGTGCGTGATTTCGCCTGCCTGTAGGCCACGGTTTCCCCGCAAAGGTTGGTTTCCTGGTTGATCTGCTGTTGATTTTGCTCCCCAAAAGGAAGCTACCATTTGCAGGGATGAGATTGGTTTCCAAATGAATTGGATGCAGCAGGGGGGCTGCGTTTGCATGGCTGTGTGGCAAAAGATTGGAACCCCTAAAATGGGGTCAAAATTCCCTTCGACACTTCCCAAGTTTCTGGATTTTATTACTGGTGGGAAGACCAGTTTAGTGGTATGCAGCAAGTTTATATTGTTTGGCCAATCCACTCAAGAAATGCTGAAAGCAACCCCAAGAAGGGTGGCGTCGAAGCAGACATCCAAACGCTAAGCCATCTCGCGCGGTTCGCAAAAGACATGTGCTCCTGGCCAAGTGTTGGATGTCCAGCAGATATAGCTGCACCCTTCACATGGTAGCCCTTCATGTTTTATTATTTTGTATGCTTAGCTGCTTAGTCCTAACGTAAGGCAGCCCAGCTGGTGGCGGCCTCACCAGCCCAGTGTTTGTTTTTCCCGTTGGTGCCCTTTTGTCGAATGTTTGACGCCACGAGTGCGTCACTCTTCTTAGCTTTGTGTTCAGCTTTCTGGCTTTGTTTGCTGCGCGTATTTGATGAACGCAAAGAGTCTCCAGAAAAACCCAGAGTCGCCGAGGGCATCCTCTTGGGAAGCCTTTGGCGCCCGAAGAAGCCCGAGTCACACTTTTCAGGACTCCACATGGCCACGTGGAACAGGAGTATGAGTTACTCTGGTTTGCATTAGAAATGCATGAAGGCCCTGTTTGCCCTGTTTGCTCACGCGACCAGAACGTGCTGCCCTACTACGTGAGCTCTGCTACCACGCTGCTCTTCGCCTTCTATACGCTCCACCAAGACCGGCGCAAGGTGAAAGCTGAGGAGAGTAGTGTGCCCCGGACAGCGTTTGTCCAGAATCAAGTGTTTTTTGTGCACATATACATACAGAGTATTCTGACACCGGGTGCGTCTATATATATATATATATATGTATATATGTGTGTGTGTGTGCTTGTAGTAGCGCATATACCTAGTACATGATGATACTGATGATGATGATGATGATGATGATGACGACGACGACGACGACGACGACAATGGCAATGACAATGGCAATGACAATGACAATGATAAGCGTGATAGTATGTGTATGTGTGTATATATATATATATATATGCTCATGGGTGCATTTGCAGGCACCCCCCATGTTATACTTTTCGTTGTTTGCATGCACCCTGCCAGTCATTTGCAGGCAGTTCCAAGTGGACTTCTTGACGAAAACAACGCGTTGTTTTCTTCAGGCTTTCGCAGGACTCTTGCTGATTGTGTGTAGAATACTATGAAATCGGCCAGTTCTGGCACGTTCTCATTTCTGACGGGTTCATGTGATGACGCTTGATTGCCGCAACCTGCCTTAAGGGCAGCTGATCGCCTGGAAGTTGGTTCGGCCAGGGGTTCGTCATGGCTGCAATAGCTATATTTGCCCCTGTGGTCGTGGCGGTTGCTTTTGCAGCAGAGTTTGCAGTGGTCAAGATCACAGCCAGAAGAGAAAGGAGGCTCCGCTTTTACCAAAAGTAAATATAGCGCGCCCAAGGGAACCCTCTGTTTGATGAATCCCACATCACACAACATGGTAGGAAACACACTCAAGGGAACCCTTTCTTTGATGAATCCCACATCACAACCTCGTAGTAAACACACTCAAGGGAACCCTCTGTTCAATGAATTCCACATCACAACATGGCATTAAGCAGCCCACGGGAACCCTCTCCTACAGGGTGCTTGGGCTGACCAAAAAGTTTTTTTTGGCTGAAGGTCAAAGAACCGCAGAACGGCGCCTGGAAGCCTGGAAGTGCGCCCTTCGGGGTGTATATATATATATATATATATATGTATACACACGTTGTCACATCTATAGCTGTATTTGTTAGCTTCATAACCTGGGTCAGACTGGGCAAGCTCTAAAGTTCTAATCAGTGACCTCACTGGCCGTGGCGGTGAACCTCGGGTCCAAGGATGAAGGCGTTTTTCATAGTGGATTGTTGCGTTGCTCACCCGGCGGAGGGAAAGGAGGGAAGGTTTCTCCATACGTCAACAAAACCCGTTCAATCTTCGGAAATGTGTTCTAATGGTGGCTGGAGTCATGTGAAATGAATAGAGCGCGCCAAGACCCATTAGTGTCTTGGTCGTTCTGCGCAACTCAGCTACTGGGGGAAAAGATCACGTGAAGGTCCAAGATCAATGCTAGAGCTAATCATTCGGATGTTTGCAGATTGATTGCAGGCCAGAAAGTGCGCCGCCGCGTTTTTGGCCCTTGTGGCGAGAAACAATTGGGGAGGGGTTCAACAAAATTATCAATGTTCAACCCCCTTCAGGTCCGAAAAAGCTAGGAGTTTCCGTGCGACGCAGTAAGTATTCAACCCTGCGATCTTCCCAGGGAGTCTTCACTATTTATTTCCCACGTTCCCAACTACAGGTCCAAAGGCCAAAAGTCAAAATGGACATTTGACTTCGTGAACTATGTCGCAAGTCCACTCTTTGCCAAGCATGAGTAGCTATGCAAAACCCTTTGTCATGGCAAAGCGCCGTGATTGTGCTAGCATTTCCGACGGCCAAGGACAAGCACCACTCGGACTCGCCCAAGTTCCTGGCAGCCGAGGTTCGCAACGTGAGCGCCGTCAGCAACCTTAGTACAGCCACTTTGCAGAAGAAGTGGTTCGGGTAGAGGGCTGTGATTTGGAGGCAGTTGGGCAATCCTCCACAAGAAAAAAGGGTCTCTTCCGCTGGTGAGAGGACTCCTGTGCGCTGGAAGAAAATGAAAAATGCTGGTTTCGATTCAAGGGGTTTGTATGTGTACTCCTTGAGCACTTTGTTGGGCACTCAGCTCAGGCCTTGCCTGTCAACAAGCTGCCGGAGGAAGTGATCATCCCGGTGCTGACAAAGAATGACACGGATCGATTTATCTAATGGATTAGCCTCGCGTAGGCCTTGGTATCTCAATGCAGAGCTGGTCTTGAGAAGCCCTTCCCATGTGCATCCTGGCATTTTGGCCCGCATGAATCAGCATATGCGAGCAGACTAACATTGTGAAACAGGCATGGGTACACGTGCTTCTGCTTATAGAATGAACGTTCACACAGAGTGACACTCTATACGCACTTTGTGTGTGCATGAAGCAAAGATAGCATTTGAGTTTTGCTTGGGGACTCAGTACCGGCTGTGCCACAGAATGGCGATCCTCGAGGCTGCCTGCCGATATTTGTTGGCCAAAACGCGCGTGCCAGGATTGCTTGTAATTACAACTAGAGTGCCCAGTGCAGTCCCCGAGTGGTTCAAGATGCTTCTCAACAGCACGAAGACATTTGTTCGGTGTAAACGTAGCTGTCAAGTTCTCCTAGTTCTTGCCACTGGGAACTCCAGCATAGTTTTGATCTCGGAACAGTAATCGAGTCGTTGCAGCAAAGTGCAAAAGTGGCGCGGCTGGAGCACCGTGCCTGAATTCGATTAGCAAAGCACCAATAGACTGTTTTGGTGTTTAGTCGGATGAAGTTTGCCTAGAGTACAGAGCTATGGCGTCCAATGGAGGTCGAAAGCCTCCAGTCAACAACAAGGGGGCCTCAACAAATGTCCGTTTCTGTTCGGATTGTAAGCTGGGAAGCTACAGTTATATATATATATATACATACATGTTCCGTCGCCCATGGTAGAGCCGCCCAAAGTTGCTAGAATCACAGTTGCGGCTGGAGCCAAGCACGTCTGCAGCAAAGGCCGTGTGTGTGTGTGTGGGTTTCTCTTGAGTGTTCAATTCGTTCAGTTCAATATGCAGACGATTCGCTCAATTATGCTCAACTACCATCCTTGGCGTCGGGTTTGTGTCGTATTTTGTAGATTTCAAGGCAAACGGTGCGTTTGAGTCAAAGACGGTCAAGTACGAATATGCGACCTCACTATTGAGAGCAAGCTCAGCCAGGAAATGCGGAGATGAGGAAAGAAGAGGAACATCAAGGGCCACGGTGAAGATAAGAGTGCAATAGCTGATCAACCACGGAAAAGGTGGCACACCTCCTTCCATCCTTTCCTGATATTTGCTTGCTGCATGGTTTTCGTGCTGCAGCTCCAAACTATTTAAGTTGGAAATGAAACATGTTTACAGAGAGAACACACTTCTCCTGTTTCAGGGCTTTGTAGAATGTGAGAAGATCGAGTTGCTAACAAGTTCAATGCAACAATGGCTAGTACTCTCAAGTAGCTGTCTTGCGCGTCATTACCTGGCCGTCCCTGTGCAGTGATTCAGGTCATCTCTGAGAGATGGTTTCAAGAGCGAGCGTGCAACTAGGGTAGGCAATGTTCACTGTGAACATGTGCATGTTCCGACGTGATAGGCAGTTGCAGGTGAGCAGGCTTCGTTGCACTGATCAACCATGCAAGTGTTTTCAGAATTGTCCAGCATCCACTCTGGCAGAATGCCAATCACACCCGCAGTATGCGTTTCCACATGTCCTTTTCTCATTTCTAAAATAGCTTTGTGGGCAGGAAAGTTGGACTTGGCTGAGTTCATCCCTTTGTAAGCTCGGGATTCGTAAGCATTGTGCACGATCGATTTCGACAGGACAATTTCATGCCCTTGCGGCCTTGCGGCTTCACTACTCAAAGGTCCAACATATCCTCTCCATGGGCCAACGGATTGGCATGCGCACGATATGCCGTGAACTCTGCCTCATGGGGATCCGTAGACTTTTGCGCTCTGTGCACAGAGCACAGAGCAGTCTGAGCTGCAATAGAAAGCGCAGCAAAAGCAGCTACGCGGGTGTGGTTACAAGGGAAAACCAAGGGAAGCCGACCTATTGTTGGAGTTGTTCCGTCAATAGGTTTGCTTGCAAGATCGCGAGATTCAACAGGCTGCCCACAGCTACCTGTTGACTCAAGAGAGTCCGGATGATGTGTCGGCTTCCCATGAGGAGTTGGGTGAATTCTGCATTGTACCAGGCTACCCCACCAAAATTGCCATCCCCTCCGTCGGAAGGAGTATCATGAGGTCTAGGTGAGAAGTGTGAAGTGCGATTTGTTCAATGATCTGAGGACCCGGCCTCTTCCTAGGGGTTGGGGGCTGTAATTTCAAATCGTTGCTGGGAACGGCTCAGTCGGCAGTTCTGCTTCGGCTCGATAAGTTGGACTTGATCCAGAGACTTCCGTTGAAACCACGGAGATATTGTCTTCAAGTTTACCATGACCAAAGCACCTGCTGTATTTGTGGTTTAGGGCCAGTCATCAGAGTTCCTGTTGAGGGAGTAACCATAGCCCACACAAGGAGCTTGGATCGTGGCACTTATTGGCTTGCCTTCTACGTCCAGAAAAGGGTTGCCACGTCTGCCCAATGTGGTGACAATGTCACTTTCCCTCCAAGTTGCATAGGAGACTTCGGACCACTGATTTACCGCCCCCCCCCCCCCCATCATTTTATCAAGAGGCCCCGTTCTAGTCAGGATTGCAGGGGAGCCGTTAGGGGTGTTAATTACGGGTAAACGAGGCAACCACAACTATTTTTGGGTGCAACTGGCAGAGATGAAACTTTGCACATGGTTTAGTGCAAGCTACATGCAGGATTACCCTAGAACTACGCTGGCTAGATCCCCACAAATTGGCTTGGTGTATATATTGGTCTTCCTCTTTTTACAGCAACCAGCTTTGCAACTATACAAAAACCAAACCAGGCGACCCGGCTCTTGTGCAAAACACGGGCTTCCGACCTGGGCCGTCCACATCGAGTTGCCCGAAAGGTTCAAAGCGGTTGTGCTTCGGCCTGCTATGTTTGGGATTGGCAATCATGCGGCGGGCATATGCGGGCCAAAGGAAATGGCCTTCCACCATCCTTGCCTCATTCGGTCAGATAAGCGGCAAGACACCATTTCGAGAATGAAATCCACCCTGCCCACCCCTTTCACCTCAAGGCTTACCAACTCGGCTTATGTACTCGGTTTCAACTGTGGATCTCTCCTGGCAGCTAATGATCTCGCCACTCTCACTGTCAGCTGTTTGGCTTGGTGGTCCCGCGCTTTCTCCGCGCTTTCACCGCGCTTTACGCGGCTGAGGCATGAGCCATGGGACGGAAGGGACGACGCGAGGGCTAAAACGAAAAACGACCAAGAAAAGTCTGTGCTCTAGAACTTGCATCGCATCCGCAGTGTCAAAACTTTATATGGTGCTAAAGGCGTGTGATGTTGATAGCTGAAGACTGATGTGTACTTTGGCATGTCCGAATTTCTTCTACACTACCGCTTGTTTGCACCCGGCAAAGGTTTGATGCATTAGTGCTAGTACCCGATCCTCCAGCGATGCCCCATTCTGCAAAACGAGCTCCCTTCTGTGCCCCCGTTGTTGGAGCGTTGATTTTGCGAGCTCAAGACTGAGATGGCTTCAGACAATGTCTATAGTTCACTCTTGTACGCAAGTCATTGTGTGAATATGATTCTATTCGATCTACTAGGTGCTCATGTGTATGAAACGAAATAGACGCTCTCAATCACAACACACCCACACTGACACCAATCAAGCATGGGCCACTCTACTGAAGCGAGCTTGGTACGTTCCGCGTTCCATTGCACCTTGGAGCTCAAGGGTATTTTTTGCGGATCCCTTGTTTCCAGCTTGTGCGTGTTGCCCAAGACAGGGAGCTCCCAAGATGGGGTGGTTTCCTTTTGGCTCCCCTTCAAAGCCATCCTGAGATCGTCCATCTGTGAAAACACGGACGATAGGAGGTTTGCTTGTGATCATAGATGAGGTTAGGGGTATGTTCAAATTAGTTTTCAGCCTCGATTCCATGGCTCAAGCGGAGGCCAATCATGGCGCGGATGCGCCATAGGCACCGAGGGATCGGACCGTCTGTGGTTGTGATTGGGTGACGCCAAGGGAACTGCTTTACGATCAAGTCGTGAGACTGGCCCACTTTGGTACCACAGAGAGGAGAATTGTTCACAACGATCCAGGAGGACATCTACTGCAAGTGGACCTGTGTACTCCCACATCACCTGTCTGCCTTGGGTGAAAGGTAACATCCTATGCGTGACGTTCACTCACGAAAGGTTGCTGAGGTTCAGAGCTGGTCGACTTCACACATATCCGTACACGAACAAGGACCCTGTCTGAAGGGTTGCGATGGCAGTTGTTGCTTGGGATATCTGGGCTTCATGCTGGTTTCATGGTCCCAGCCAGGACACTTCCCCAGCTATCGAGGGACAATGTCAAGTTTGGAATCCGGATGGTCATAGAAATCTAAAGTATGACCCGGATTCAACCGAAATTATCATAAGAATACAAACCACGGCCCTTCGTGACCCAGTTGGTTTGTTGATGCGTTCGCATATGGGGCCAGGTTCAGCTTTTCTGCCTGGTGTGTTGGGCAAATATGAAAAATTGGAGCTGAGTTCTCCTTGCATCGAATGTTGTTTCTTTTTGTGAGGGAAGTCCCAAGGACCCTGAGTAATTATTTTCTTCTTGGTATCCTTTACTTCCCTTGAGTAATTCTTGGTGGGTTAGTCCTGGCTGAGAGGTAAGCCCTTTCCTGAAAGCCAAATGACTCGAGGGAGGATTCCCATTCCAGGATGCCACAATAGCTCACCCTGCAGGTAAAATCAGCTCACCCACAAGGAAAGTCCCTCGCTTCAAGGACTCCTCAATTCAGCTAGAATGATATCACTCAGGGCAGACACTTCCCAGACTTTGCAGATTTATTTTGCCATGGGCCCCTCACTGCATCCGACCTTCCGAGGTCGGCGCGGCTGCTTGCAGCGCCTCTCCTGGCGTTTGCCTGGCGCTGCCGGCTCAGTTGGCTCGAGATGAATTCCAACTCGACACATTTGGATGTTCCACAAAAGGCAATACATGGTTGTTGTTCAGCATGAGACGGCCAGAGCCATGGCTATAAAAGCGACAGAGTCTGTCAATTGAGGCCTGGACTTGATGATGAAGACGGGGGACACTTACGCATATATATATATAGTTAAATGTACCTACAGAGGATGAGAACAGCAACAACTTGATCAATGGTTTTAATTAAATATTAGTGCACAAAAAA